TTGTGCGATGTTAAAATTAAGTGAATAAGTGGATGAATTGAGAGTAATAAGATACGAGGATGGACTGGTGGATGATTGAAAAGTAGTAAGAAAGATTGGTATATCATTAACTCGGCTAGCGATGCCTACTCATTACAGGCTGCTTGGAAATTTATCTTCGGCTAGTTGTTGAGATTAAGGTGAGGTGAGGTTGGTTGTCGGCAGCTTCATTTCAGAAATTTAATAATTATCGCATGTTCTTTAGTACCTTATTAATGAACGAATTTAATATATTTCTCTCTCTCTCTCTCTCTCTCTCTCTCTCTCTCTCTAATTAGATACTCTATTTGGTTGTCGTTCATTCTTAATGTGAGACAGCCTATAATCTTCACCGATACTTATTTTATTTTCTTATGCAATTATAATGAGAAAAGTTGGAAGAAACAAAGTTACATAAAGTATAACGAGATTCGTTATAAAATTAAGTTTCAATAGTTGCATTTTAATTTGGAAGAAATGTTATCCTATATTTTTCACAAGTTCTGTATAAATGCCATTAAGTAATAAAGCAAAGTGTTTTTACTTGACGGAATCATTCACTGAATAATATAATGTGCCTTTCATATTTTTTTATTTTTTTATTTTTATTTATAATAAAAAAAAAAAAAAACTATCTATAGAAATTATAATTAACAATATAGATTTACATTATAGGCCAAGTTTTATTCACGCTTTTTCAATGTACTACTTACTTGCTCCCATTAACATATTTTGATTTATCGCATTATTTCTATTATAAATAATCAGATAAAACGATTATCGTCAGAGCAAATAATATAATGCCAACATTCAAATTTGATTACCAAATAACTAATCATATTAACAATATATGCTAAAGTATTATCGTGTGATAATTGTATAAAGATAATAAATATCCTTCCATCCGTTTATTATCAATTGTAATATTTTTGTGAATTGATTGTAATCTTTATTATATATTTGTAAGGTAATAATTAATAGTGTCGAATTTTTATAATAAGAAGCAAACTTTTTCATTCTATTATTGACGTTTAAAAAGATTTCAAACGACACATTTTTTTAAATCTATCGAAATCAACATATTAATACCCCCCCCCTCCCCCTCTCCCTCTCTCTCTCTCTCCTCTCTCTCTCTCTCTCTCTCTCTCTCTCTCTCTTCCCTTCCCTTCCCTTCCCCGCCTCCGCCTCCACCTCTTTTCGATTACCATAAAAATTTAATTATAACTATATTAACAAAGGTTAAAGTTATAAAATCTAATTCAAAAATTCATGAAATTTTTTTATACTTTTTTTTTATCTTTATTAATATTACTTTTCTCAATAACTGTCATAAAAGATTTAACTGCTATTAATAGAACATTTATATTATAATAAAAAAAAAAAAAAAAAAAAAAAAAAAAAAAAAATCTCAGATTATGAAACAGAGCCCGTTAGACGATATGCCACTAAAACCAAATCTAAATTTCATGGATTTTTATAAAAATTACGAAGAAGAATCACTGGATACGACACTCCAAACCTTTTCATTTGTCGTCACAGAATTTACTTGGCATCACGATATTCGTGTATGAACCACAAAGGAATGTTAGCTTTATTCCCACAGCCGAGATGATATACGTCTCTCTCTCTATATATATATATATATATATATATATATATTTGTCTCTCTTCCATCTTCCTCGACGACTCCCAAAGCATCTAGCTACTATCGCTTTTCTCTTCTCCTCCACCTTCTTCTCTAATCCCCGTCAAACATGCACGACGCGCAAGAGCGAGAGAGTTAAGAGGATCGTTGGCATGCGATTTCTGGCAGTTTCTTTTGAAGCGGGGAGAAATAGAGAGATGGAAAAAGGAAAAGGATTAGAAATAAGGAGGATCGCAGTGTCGTAAAGAGAATTCCCTAGTACTTTCTGGCTTCGGTAGCTATGCCGACTCGACTCCTACCGATGGAGTAGTCACTTGGGTTCGACTTAAAAGTCAGGGTCGAGGCGGGCGGCGAGCTACGGCAGCTTCTACTCCGCTTCTGCTCTCTGGTTGACTCTGAAAGAAAGGATATAAAGTGACTCCCTAAGATGCTACACCAGTTGCATCAAATAGCAGCTTTTTATTCTCCATCTCCCGTCCCGTCCCTTTCCCTTCTTCGATTTCTCACACTTCAACATAGTCTCTTCTCTTCGTATTGGGTGTGCGTATACGTCGACTTCGTGTATTTCGCTTCGCGCCTTTCATGCGAAGAAAAAGAAGTGTTGAATTTGCATAAATATGTATGGATTTGCATGACATGAAACTATGCCGCTGAGCATTTCCATAAATTGTGTCGCTGGAAACGAAACTCGGAATACGTCTTGTGTTTAACGAAATTTACGAGCGAAACACTGGTTTGATCTACTAACTACTCCATTGTTGTTCAAAGGTCTGGCAAATAAATCGAATTTTACCGAACACTCTATCACTGTGTTTTCTTGGTAATTTAAAGCAAACAGAACGTTTATTGTGTTTCAATATTGGAATATCATTTGTTAATAAATCGCTAAATTATTTTTTAACACTTGGATTAAAAATATTTTTCCAAATAATTATAATAAAATATTTGTAAATCAATTGAAATAACCCGATGATTATTGGTAATTTAACCTTTCAAACGATATCTAACAAGTGAAATTCCAAAAAATTATGATAAAATATCCACTGTTTATTTTACTTTATTCTACTGTGCTCTCACAAATTGGTATCTCATTATCTATTACGAATGAAAATCTCATTTATTGGTTGAGTAAACATTAATTTATGGTTATATATGTATTTTGACAGCACGTGAAGAAATAAAATTCTATGTTTAATGTAATATTATTCTTACAACTATAAACAAGTAATATTTTACGAAAAGTTTTTTCAATAATTATCTTTAATATTAATAAACTAAAACATTTATATTTTAAAGTATGTTGAATTACATAAGATATTTTTTATAAAAATTATAAAGTTTCTCAAAGTTACATTAATTTTGTTTACTCATTCCTATGAGTTGCGCAATAAATTATCATATATTTTTTCGCGGAATAGTGCGTTAGACGAGTGCGTTAAAATCGTAAGTCTTTCGAGTTATTATTTACATTAATGTTTAAATTAGATAAATCTATCTATCTTCTCTGATTTCTATTAAAACTTAGATAACGGCATTCTCAACTTTTAAGTATTTTTTAATTATAATTTTTCGGTAACAAATGACAGTTTTATTGTTCTTTCAGATACACAACAACATTATTTAAAGTAATGATTTTTATCGTTAAGATGCTGATAAAGCAAAATTATGATTTCCGAGATTATTATGTGCGTATGTTATATTTGAGTTACGTTTATTTCTCAGATGATAATTCAAGTTAGATTCATTAGATTAGATTCCCGACTAACATTAGAAAAATTAACTTTCGTTAATAAATGATTTCGTTAGGAAATTGGATCTTGTAAAATTTCAACGAAATCTATTACTTAAACAGTATAAATTAATTTCAATAACAAAATTATGAACGTATCCGATGAAAATTGATATTCACTCAAATATGGAATATTGAATATTGAAATTGATTTTTAAAATGTACTATATAAACGTCATCTGTTAGTTTTATGTGAATTCTTTGAATCTCGTTGCTGTTTTAATACATATAATATAAAAACGAATAAAAGAATGACGTTTTAAAAAAGTGTATAATTATATAAATTAATATATAATAGTAATTCAATATAAAATCAAACTAATTTCAAAAGATTGTTATTATTTCAATGAGTTGAACTATATATTATTTTCTTCACTCGTTACATTGAAATTATTGTATATTTAATGCACAATTATTAAACTACAGATTATATTAATCATCGGAATATGAAATTCCTTTAATTTTTTGCTTAGCATATTATTTTAAAACATTATTGATTTTATATGGATATAAATAATGAATTGATTCGAACAATCTATTAAATTGTAAAAACCTATTAAAATTTCATCTTTTTTGAAATTATTTTGTAATTTTCATATTTATCATGTTGACAGTTTATTTTATTTACTATCGTATGTATATATATATATATATATATATATATATATATATGTAATTGTTACGGCATATTCAATATTAAATCTTAATATTATAATGTTATGCAATTTTTGCAGGCATTAAAGTATTTTTTATCATTTAGTTTATCTTCCAATAGTCAGTATTATTTCATAGCTTAAATTTTATTTATATTTCACAATTGATTCTCTTATTGATATCTGAAAGTGAAAGTAATAAAGAAAAAGAATGATTATTGTTTTTCAATTAATTATTCTTCATAAAAATATTTTATCCTAGTGTTAAATATTATTTGAAAACTGTATGTTTTCGTCTGGATAGAATTAATATTTTCATTCATACTGCTTGACAATAATTTTTCCACTACTTCCTAATCGCTATATCTTTCTTTTCTATCTATTTTAATAATATCAATGTAGATCAATACGTATATCCATATTAAACGGACACTTCCAAGAAGTATTCCCTTAACGATTTAATATTATACGAAAATAATTTGTTTTCAAGACTTGATATTCTTTTTAATCATACGTCCATTCCTTTCATTCTTATTCCTGTTGATCGATGCTTTTACTTCAATACTTTTATGTCAAAATGCATTCGTTTTAAAGGGCATTTCTTCCATTCATACATTGTACGTAAATTAAATTCAATCGTATTACATTCTCTCAAGTATCATTAACCATGTAAAACACTTATATACGCATCTTCCTCTTATAATTATAATATTTTATTTAATGAAAGGCTTTAAATAACTTGCAATGATAATCAGTATAATAATCACAATACGCAATTCAAGTGACTCGATGATTTCGCATTATTAATATCGCTCATCGTGTCTTAAATTGAAATTGTTATAAAAAGTTTTTGTCCAAATGTTATAAGACGTGCAATAAAATCATTATTTGCCGTATGTCGACAGGCTCGTCGGTCCTAGAACCAGAATTCGTGAAAGAGATCGGCAACATCACCGTGCCAGCTGGTAGAAGCGTCAAACTCGCCTGCACCGTCAAGGATTTGGGAACATTCAAAGTGAGTTGATTTTATCTTTGTTTTTTTTACCTCTTCTACTATTCTCTTCCTCTAGTTCCAGCCATAGATTTAGAATCAATTTCACTGGGAGTATGCTCGGCAAGTACGCATCATCACTAAGAGCGGATGCATGAGAGCCTCGCCGCCACCTATGATAAACCAACCGCGTATTCCATGCAAAGTGGTGAAAAAACACGGCGCCCTGAAAGGGGGAAAAAAGTCGTCGAGCCTTGAGAGTTAGCGCGGGAGATGGCGGCGTATTTGTAAATAGGGATGCGTGGGGGATAAGCTGGTACGTTGGTGTGAAAGATCGTCGGGCTCGGTGCGAGGGAAAATCGTGGCGTACATGCGCGGCACTTGATTTTAATGAGGCTCTCCAATGAATCGCATTCATTAAAACGACGCCCGGACCGGAGTCAATGAGCGGCGACTCGCTTTAAAAGGACTCGACTGTCCTACCTCGTCCTCAGCTACAGGATAGAAGCGGCGCGAATTGCTTTTCACATTTCCAAACGCGGATTCGCGATTCGTGATTCCCAATGACCCTTCGTCGCCCGACGACTGCGACATTTAATCGATGTTGGGTGATGGCGATGGTATGTGTGTGTTGTGTGTGTGTGTGGGGGGGGGGGGCATCGTGGCAGTGCAGAATGTAACGCATATAATAAGTAGCGAGTGTAGGTACGCCGAGAGAATCGAATCGGGCCTCGCGGCTTTTGCCGAGCTTGGCGAAGTGCCAGGACGAGCCGCCGAGCGAGCTTTGCATCTTTTGGCTGCTTGCATGCTCCCAAGACTCACGAGGCAACCCATCCGCAGGACTTTAGTCTCTTTCTTGAACTTTTGTTCTTGCTTTGATTGTGGCGGTGACGGTGGTGGCGGTGGTGGTGGAGACGGCGACGGCCGGAGTGCGCGCGAGTTCGAGCGTAGACTCGAGGATGAAATTTTCGGAAATCCGAGCAAAGATTGGATTCGCTCAAGTGGCTTTTGAGAGAGCTTTTTCTGGGTTAATAAAGTTGACTGTTACTTTCCTCTTTATTAGTTTCAGTATGGGATACGTGATGACGGGTCGGATAAAATTGATTTTTATTTTTTGATCTACAATTTTCATAGCACTACTATTACCGGGAGAATTAGACAGTTCAGTTACATTGTTCCAAGTAGAAAATGAATTGTATGAGTGTATTTGATCGTGTAGGTTGCTTGTGCATTCAGAGAATATACATTGGTTTACCTCACTATGGATTAGGAGGACAAGAAGGCTTTCTCAGCTCAACACTTTAAGGAGAATATCGATGTAATAAGAGCATCTAATTACGCATCCTTCATAAAATAGACGAAATTCATTGTTCCTTCAATGCTATTCGTCTATGATGATAAAAATGTTCTTCTTAAACCTCGTGTTAATTCTTATTTTGAAAACATTATTTTTTTTTTTTTTTTTTTTTTTTTTTTTTTATCTTAATATATGCGTATTACAATAATTTAAGCTTATGAGAAAGACACATTAAATTATTTCAAACTTTTTTTTTTTTTACTCATGTATTATAAAAAATATTTGAAAAATTTTTTTTTTATTTTGATCATTAAAATATTTTATAATTTTTCATTGTCGTAAAATTTTACTAGTAAATGAAATGGTAATAAGCACGATTAATATAGAATACTATATTAATTGATTTAATTGTTTTTATAAATTTTCTCCTTTCAAGCATAATTTAATATTAATTTTGGAGAAACATGGGCAATTGCGTATAGAATGCAAAATTAAATTTATAAAAATAATAATTTTCTGAAATTGTTTCTAATATGAAGAGTTGATATTATAGAGATCACTAATAATTTTTATATAAAAAATAGTCGAAAACGAGCGAATTATAATAATGAATTTGCTCCCATCATAAACACGGCAAATGTGCTTTTGAAAGACGCTCAATTACTACGAACGAATTAATAATAATAAAAAATGTATTAATAAATTTTTATTTTTGTAATAAAGTTACTTGATTTAAACGAATAATGACACACGCGCGCACGCGCACATATCGTAATTGTATTAAAATACCTCTTTAATAAAAATATCGTAAGGGAATAATCAGCGAAGGTTAGTATTTAGGGGAAATAAGAGGGTAAATAAATTATGCGCTTCGGCGAACGTTCAAGGATCGTCAAAGCAAAAACACCCGTTGTACAGCGATTAGAAGGACCTTAATAAAGTCTCGTCAGAGGTCGGTCAGATCCCAGGACGTCGAGGAGCTTATGGAGTACGTTTAGTATTAGCGTTTGCCCCACTCCCTCGGCTCGCAACGACCTGAGCTGCGGTGCTGTACGAAATACCACAGGGACGACGTAAGACGCCGTCAAGGGCCATGATACGGTGCAAACTTCCCTTTATAGCTACAGAGTCACGGCACCCTTACCTTTAATACTTGCAATCGTCACTTAACTAAAGTATTTATGTGTGCAGTAACTAATTAAATCATTTACCTAGTACTTGCAAATTGCAATCCTGGTTTTAAAGTAAAAGTTCTTAGCTACGGTAATGATAGGGAATATTATGCGCCTAATCTATTAACTTCATACTTATGCGCTTACGAAATGTATTATTTACATATTAATTGTTGTATTAGCATTTTAATTATTGATTTTAACATTATAGAAAACACGTGTCTTCGAAATATCACATTTATTGGGTTTAAAATTTCTTTCAATAAATTAAAGATGTATAGTGCCGTGAGATCTTAATATATTTCTTATTTATATAATTAAAATTATCCTAAATGTCATACTATTACTACAATATATATATATATATATATATATATATATATTTTTTTTTTTTATTTTATGAATTTTTCATATTTATTTTGATGTTGTACGTAATGATCGTGATAGCATGTGTAACAAAGTGAAACATGCCGTTTAACAAAATACAGGCGTGGTAACGTTTGTTTACAATTTTTTTCTTGTATTACTCAACGCCCACTTACTATGCTCAAAACAAACGATTCCGTATAGATATTGTTATGCAATGAGCAGTACCTACGATCTATCGACAAATATATCATTATATATCGTTGAAAAACAATATTCCGAGAGAAAAATCGGTCACACTTGTATTACACGAAGCTCTGCTCTTAAGCAACAAATACGGCATATTTATATCGTCGATAATATAATTAATGTTCTATTATGTTCAAGCGAACTTTATTTAGCATTTACATAATAGTAGAAATGGACAAACTTCTCATGTATTTCAATTATACACGAATAATTAAGTTGGTATCTTATTAGTTCCAATTTTCTAACGACATGCCACCGTCGTTTCGAGCATTGTTGCCTATTGTCGTACACATTGTTCTTCCACTCGACACACAAGGCCATTCGACAGTCCCACGGACACAATCGGCAATTGTAATTATGTTGATCGATCGATTCGCGCGTTACCGATTATTTTTCTATCAAGACACCGAATTAAAAACTTTAGCCCCGTATTGGTGTGAAAATTTTGCCCACCAGCAGCACCATTAATCGTTCCAAAACAAACGCTTGCAGTTCGCGATTCTTTATCACATTTTCAAATAGCTCGAATATTAAAACATTACGCTTATGTAATAACACTTATATAAAATAAAATTCTTAAAGCATTTGTATGCCAAAGAATCTTTAGTCAGAATCATACTTATAAAATCTTTTTACTGAGATTATGATTACTCGAAAACGTGATACCATAAAGTGGTTACGTGCAACGTATGTTTATAAGAAATTAAAAACTTTGCTTGTTTTATTTGAAAATTTTAACACTATGCGAGCGTGGAAAATGAAAATTATGCAAAAAATAAAAATATTATTATTATTCTCTCTATTCAAGATTTTTGAAATGTCAATTAACATTATCACATTACTTTGGCTAACAGAGTCCATTAATAACACTCTCCTCTTCTTATATTTTATCTTTAAAATCCTTCATAAAGACGTATTATTATCATCATGGTTATTTTACTTGTTCTTGCCGCTGTTATTATTATCGTTATTGTTATTCAGTGCATTCAATGGAATATAAGTTATATGGGACAAAGTACAATGAGAATAGATAAGCTAATTGCAAGTAATATTAAGGTAAGGTGTCAGGTAAGAAAATATGTCCGTATTAATCTCATTACTGAAAGCTTTAATACTCAACTGGTTATCAAATTCTAATTAATTAACCTCATCGATATTTTATCGATTCTTTAGTGAGAAACTCTCGTCTTTTATGCGGCAAATGTTGAGAAGCAGAAAAGATGATGATGATGAGATGTTGAGGGTGGGAGGGATGGACAGGCATCGAGCTTCCTTCTTATCTATCCTACGTTTGCCCCCCCCCCCTCTTCCTCCTCCCCCTCCCCCTCCCCGCACACACACGATCTAAACGGGAATGGGTAATGAACTTGCGCATTAGCTCCAAGTAGCTTGTATTATTAAAGGACTGGATATCGTATACTATGCTACCGTTTTGCCCAGAGAAAATACCCAGAGAAAGTCAGCCTGACCATCAGAAATTCAACGATTCACACGAAAGACTGGACAATTGGTCCAGTAAAAGTCGAACGTATTTATCAGAATACAATAATTTATAAACATTATATTATGATGCCAGTGAGAGAAAACGATTATAATGAAATAGATAAAGCGCCCTGTCAAGTATTTTTATTATGCAATTTTGAGCTTTTGATGAAAATTGTAAAGCAAGGTGTTCCAATATTTGTTCCAATATTTTCAATTTTATACATCCTTATCAACTTGTTGCAAATTCATATTATTCATAAATTCTCGATAAACCTAAAAAGTGTTTACTTCTGCAATAGAGCACACTGTCATCATTGAAAAATGAGTACAGTACGAACAAACAGTAATTAGTATTATGTGTAAGTGTAGCAATTTGCAGTAGTATGGAATCTTTTATATCTTTTCTATCCCTTAAAAAAAATTTAGATGGGTTTTAGCCACTCTCAAGTAATATA